TTTAGTTTATTTTGATTTGAGTCCAGGTGGAAAATGAACAATAAACTGAAATCAGGGACAGAAACTTAAAAAGAAAAGAGGGTGGATCCTGTGTGACATCATCACCAGCTGAGGTGTAATCACTCGCCTGTGAGGACCGTGACTCTGCCCTGCAGCTCCCCGTTACACTGATACTCTCCAGCGTCCCCTGGCTGCAGGTCCTGGATCTGCAGGGCGTCGTACATGAAGCTGAGGCGGTCGTCTTCCCTCTCGAGTTTCATTGTCCCGTTTCTGAAGCGGGTGAAGATGGCCTCCCGCCTGCCTCCTCTCCTCCGGTGAAACCACCTCTGTCTGGGTTTGGGCGAGCGGCCGCAGGGAAGCAGCAGCGTCCAGCCTGAAGACACCGAGAAGTCCCGACCTGAGGAGGCGGAGACACGGGCCAGGTGCTTTTTTATTTTCATGTTAAAACACATCGACTTTATGAATCTGGGTCCGTCTGACAAAACTGTGACGCGTCGTCTCCTCTGGATTCACATTCCAGTCTCCTGTCATACTGCACCTGCCCAACAGGTGTCCTCAGACTGTCCCAGATCCACCTGCTCACCTGGTTCCTATTCCCAGAATGCACTTCAAACATAACAGCTCCCTACAGGAAAGCCAAAACATCTTGCTCACCCCCTGGTGGCTGGCTGTGGTATTTGTTATGATCACTACTGCACAGTTGTCATCAGCACAAAATGGCGGCTCCTGTATCTGAGATATTTTGGCTTCATTTTTGACCAGGTAGTGGTCGAGACGTGTCGTCCATCTTTATTTTCAGTCACTGAAGGTCTACACAGACAGTAGTTGATTTTATACAAACATATAAATACATGTGTATATGTACCTGTCAGTACCTGCAGCTCGGCCACCGGCTGCTCGTTGCAGCGATACTCTCCGCTGTCAGAGTCGAGGAGCTGCAGGAGACAGAGGCCGCCGTCAGACAGCAGCAGGTGGCGCTGCTCCTCCTCGTTGGCATCGTAGTCCTGTTCTGGGACCAGGACGTCCCCGTCCCCGCGAGTCCAGATCACATGAGACGTGTCTGAGGCGCCACAGAGGAGACAGACGTGATGATGCTCCGGGACCGAGAACCGGATCAGAGCTGAGAGAGAAAGTTTCAGAAGCTCTGAGCCACAAAAACCTTTAACTGACACATGATTGTATTTAATCATCTCTGTTTTAAGTGAATTGAATGTTTCACCTCCTGCCTCCTTGAACTGATCTTAAATTCACATTAGAAGACGTATCCTGTGTTCATGTGTACTCAGGTAGTTTCTACATCTTAAACCGGTTTCTGGACTTGATATTAAAAAGTTTCCTTCATCAGATATATTTATATCTATCAGAAAATATTCCTGATGCATCACAGTTTGTTTCCACATCACGTCCGTTATATTTAGCTGCAGATCTGTGTCACTCTCCTGCTGATGCTCACTTTTAACCTGGTTTCCTGCTTTATCTCACGGTCACATGATCCCTGTGGTCCAGTCAGACAACAACTAAGAGGGTGGAAATCTTGAAAATAGAATTTGACATCTGTGTGTAAAGATGTTTATTTAAAAGAAAAACTGTGAAAACTAAAGTTCAGTTACAATTTGTCCTGAAAAAAACCTGTCAGAAGAAAACAATCAATCACAGTTTGTATTCATATTGACAAAATGTTTTCACTGCTGGATTTATTTCAATATATATTAAGTTAGAAAAATCATTTTAATTTCTTGTTGAACGGTTTTTCCTTCATGTGTAATAGTAAAGTTTACAAATGATATTAAACGAAAGATTCTGTGCAAATTTCCGTTAATAAACAACAAACACAAAACATCGATACAGGACTAGTTAAAGTATTAATAATAATTATATGAGATTATTCATTTAAATGAAGGATGATAATAACTGAAACGTACCGGTGGAGTTTTCAGTCTGTAAAAACCAAACCCAACAGAAAATGATGAAACAGATCATCTTCAGAAGAGACGTCTGATGAGAGCGAGAGATGAAGAGAGAGAAAGATTTCCACTGGTCCCTCCTGCTCCTTCTCTTCTTCCTCATTCACTCCATCTGACCACACTCTCTTTAACTCTTTCACTGTGACGTTTTAAACGGAGGATTGTTGCTGTGAGATATTAACTCCACTTCTCAACATGTTCGAAGAAAGACAGAAAAAGAGTTTGATGCACCTTTAATCTGATCACTTTTTCCATTTCACACATTTTTAAGTTTCTGATATTCTCCGTCTATTTCACACGTAAAGATAAAACCACTTGAACATCTGAGACAAACAACTAAAACATTTTATTTTCACTCTTTCACTTTTATTTTCTAAAGCTTCAACCTGAACTGTTTGTTTCTTCCTGGTGAGCTCTGATTGGCTGACTCGCTTGCCAATCATACGTGTACCTGCGATGTGTTGACGTTGGTTGGCTAATTTACCTGTCAATCAAAATGCAACCGCCCCATTGGGCCGAGCCCCCCAGGAAGAGGTTCTATTGGTTCTCTCTCCCGTCCATCAGCTGCTGCGCTGTAAGTGGGCGGTACCTTGCCGAGCAGCCGCTGTTTCCTTGTGTGTGTCAGAAGCTGCGAGAACCGAGAAGCTCCGGTTCACCGAGAAGCTCCGGTTCACCGAGCCGCGAGCCCGAGACCCTCCGGATATTTATATTCATGCTCCCGGGACCTCTTTGTGTGTCTACGTCTATCTACGTAACCCGGAAGCAGACGGACGAAGAGAAGCTGCCGTGAACACCCCCCACCTGAAGCTAGCTGTTAGCCGTTAGCCGTTAGCTCGTCGTTAGCCTCCGCACTCTCCGCCGCTCTCACGCCGCCTCTGAGGCGATGAGCACGGACTTACTCTCTGAGCTGGACACCCGCTTCTTCGCTGATAACCTCCTGACCAGCGAGGACTGGGGTGAGTCAGCAGCTCCACCCGCTGCACGAGGCCATGTCGGCGGCTACAAGCCACTGTGGTGCCCCGGAGAGGGGAAGGGAGGGTGGGGGAGGAAGAAGGAAGAGGGATGGAAGAGAGGAGAGGAAGAGAGGAGAGGAGAGGAAAGGAAAGGAAGGAGAGAGGAGAGGAAGAGAGGAGAGGAGAGGAAAGGGAGGAGAGGAAGACAGGAGAGGAGAGGAAGAGAGGAGAGGAAGACGAGAGGAGAGGAAAGGGAGGAGAGGAAAGGAAGGAGAGAGGAGAGGAAGAGAAGAAGAGAGGAGAGGAAAGGAAAGGAAGGAGAGAGGAGAGGAAGAGATGAGAGGAGGAGAGGAAGAGAGGAGAGGAAAGGAAGATAGAGGATAGAGGGCGAAACCAAGGACTTTAAAAGTTTTACACTTAAAGTGTTGTGTGTGTGTGTGTGTGTGTGAGTGTGTGTGTGTGAGAGTGTGTGTGTGTGTGTGTGTGTGTGTGTGTGTGTGTGTTGTCAGTCTCATCATCACATTTTAAATTGATGTCATGTTTTATAAATTTAATCAATATAAAGTGAATAATTCTCAATATATCACAGTGATCATCGTTTTTAATTAATATTCAATATAAAGTGACTGATGAAGATCAGATCAAAGTGTGAAAACTAGAAAAGATCAAAAGAATTTCAGTTTTCCAGAAAATGAAACATTTTAGAAACTTGACTCATCAAAGATTAGTTTTATTCTCTTATTGAAATAGTTGCAGATTCATTTCCTGTGAGTTAAATGATATTAAACCAAATATAAATCATCACAGCTTTGAATGAGTGAAAACAGTTTTTATTGTTGAGAAACGTACAAACACACTGAAACACGTCGGTGTTGATATTTATCTGCAGGATGAATTAACTTAAGAAACGTGTGATGTCACCGTCCACACCCGCCCGGCACACGGTTGTTTGTTTCAGTTTCAAAGTCCACATCCATGTTGACACCTGTGTCTGAAAACATGCAATGCATGATGGGAGAATGATGGCACTTGGGGTCGGTGTGTGTCGGTTTCCAGGACGTGACTGTTACGGAGTAAATCTGTGTTGTTTACCAGTCGATCAGCAAAGTTCTTAAAGCTCCAGTGTGGAAGATTCAGGTGAAAGAGATTTAAAGTAAAATAATCCTCAGGATGTTTTCACTACTTTCATCTAAATTGTTGGAATTGTAGTTTTCTTTACCCCAAAGGCCCTTTATATTTAAATACTTTATATTTAAATACTTTATATTTACATACTTTATATTTAAATACTTTATATTTACATGGAGGGGACCCTCTCTACGGAGGCCGCCATGTTGTTTACATGAGTCCAGACTGAACAAACTAAAACCTTTTGAGTTTTTATGACGACTGAAGCTGCCACAGGTTCTTCTTCATGTTTGGAAGGAGAGGGGGGGGTTCAGCTGCAACATGACACTTCACCACTAGATGTCACTAAATTCTACACACTGAACCTTTAATGAGCAGCTGATTTACTGACTTGTGACTTCTGCAGGTGAAACTTGAAGGACAAGTCCATTTGCATTTTCAGAGGTGGAACGTGACAAATGTCTGTTTTAGTTTTTCACACGTGTTTGTTCTGCCTCTCGTCAGATGCCTGCCTGTACCAGTGTGAGAGCATGGAGGAGGGGGAGGACGCCGACTTCCCCCGAGGGCTGAAATACAACACGACGGTACGACAATGACAAAAACCAAACAATCAAACAATCAAAACTCCACCTTCGTACAGTTCACAGGGGCTGAGGTTCACTGCTCACAGACAGGAAGTGGCTGGCTGCAGTACAGGTCATAAACCTGTATCACCGAACAGCAGGAAAAATCAGGTGTTGATCCACCAGTAGATACAGATGATGGGTCAGAGGATAATCAGGCTAATAGCCTCACACACACACACACACACACACACACAGGTTGGCCTTATTTTAATCCTGACTCCTCTGCTCGCTCTCTCTCTCCCCCCCCCCGCTTCTTTTTCCTCTGACCTCTCACAGTTTGACAACGACCTCGTGCTCTCCCTCAATCCTGACAACCCCACATCACCATGGCAACACAGTGACGACAACCTGCTCACAGGTAAAAGACCGGTGACGCCCACTGGGAAGGTTTAATGACACACGAGACGTTTTTCTTCTCACAGCAACATCTTTTCTAAATATTCTCAACTCTTAGATTTATATATCTGTTAGAATGTTAGAACTTTTATTTTGACGTTTCATTAGTTTATGTGATTAAATGTGAAAACGTTGAAGTGAAACAAATCTTCATGAAACTTGAAGTGCGTCGTGAACATTTGTTTTTGTTCATTTCATGGTTGTGATTTTATCAAACAATCTTTTGTCTTTTTCTCTGAAGGAGAAACATCGGTAACAAAAAATGAAATGACGATAACTCAGCCGCTACCAGTGGAAATGTGTACGTCTTTCTATTTGTTAAGAAAGAACTGATCATGTTCCTGTTTCCAGTGTGTGTTGTTGACTTGTTTGTTTGTTTGTTTGTCGCGCAGTGTTCCAGGTGAAAGCAGAGCCTCTCTCCCCGGCGTCTTCACTCTCCTCTGATTGCTCCGCGTCCTCCCCGGACCCTCAGGTGTGTGGTTACATGTCCAACACGTCTCAAAAAACCTGGAGCTGCTCACTTTGTGGTAAAAGCAGTTTGCGTCTTGGTTCTGTCCAGGTCACGGTTAAAGGTGAAAACCCTCCGACTCCTCCGTACATGTACGGAGACGTGCTGTCTCCTCCGCTCGGATCCATGGAGGTGACCGTGGCCACGTCGGCCGTGCCCCCCCCACTACAGACACAGAAGTCGTTGACGGCCCAGATCCCAGCGGCCATCGGTGGGTTACAGACGCAGGCGACAGGTGAGCACGTGCAACAAGTGATCCAGTGAAAGTGACCAATGGGATCACTGCTCGCTCTCTGTATCCTGTTGTTGTTGTTGTGTTTGTCGAGCTGAATTAATGTAAACGACCCCCCCCCCCAGTGCTGCCGAGGTCCGCCACGTTAAAGACCAACAACATCCTGAGCACAAAACCCCCCATCCAGCCCCGACCCCTGTGTGTCGCCTCCCGCCCTGTCCCCCAGACCCCGGCACCGGCTAAGACCCTCATACTACAGGGCCTCCCCCCCATGGACCAGACCAGACCCGGTAAGAGAAGTGTGTGTGTTTTGTGTCGTGTCGTGTTGTGGTGTGGTGTGGTGTGGTGTGGTGTGGTGTGGTGTGGTGTGTGTTGTATCACAACAGTAATGAGCCGTTTCTCCTCCTCCTCTAGTCGTCCTGTCTCAGTCCGTCTGTCTCGGTTCAGCTCCGGCCATCGTCAAGATGGAGCCGGTCTCTCCCTCCATCACCCAGCACTGCTCCAGTCCCACAGCCCCGCCCACCAGCAAACCCATCGTCCCGGCAACCTCCACTTTACCTGGCAACAGCTCCGGGGACGTTGACGTGAGTTGAGATGACGCAACGACTCATTAAAGTTCTTTTTTCTAATCAAATCTTTCGAAGGACTCAGAGCTTCAGTTTTGAAACAGATTCAAATCGTCCTGTGAACTGAAGCACAGATTCTCCGAGTCCCTAACGAGTCCTTAACGAGTCCTTAACGAGTCCCTCGTTACGTCTCAGATAGAGGAGGAGTTGTGTGGTGTTTCGCAGGTTTGGTCACATCAGGAGTTTCTCACTTACACGTTAAAGATGTAAAGCGCTGAATAAACCAGAGGGTTCTCTTACCAACGTCACAAAAACCTCCTTCAGTTGTGAGGACAAATGTCTGAGTCATTGTCTCTGGACATTTTCTGGATGTGTAAAATTTAATATCCAGTCTCTAAAGAAACGTCCTCAATCCTCTTTTTCTTTAAAACCCTAAGATTTACATCCTTTGTCTCCCTCCCCCTCCCTCCCTCCCTCCCTCCTGCAGATGAAGGTGCTGAAGCGGCAGCAGAGGATGATAAAGAACCGGGAGTCTGCGTGCCAGTCGAGGAAGAAGAAGAAGGAGTACCTGCAGAGCCTGGAGGCTCAGCTGAGGGAGGCGCAGCAGGAGAACGAACGACTCCGCCGGGAGAACCAGGCACTGAGGGAGAGACTGGCTGGGAAAGAGGTCAGGGACACAAGAGGAGTAATAATACGACCTATCGCTCCGTTTAAAGTTTCTCAGGATCCGTTACACATCTGCAACAAAGAACATCTGGAAAAATAAGAAATCTGGAAAACTTCTTGTTAGAAAATCAAACATACGCAAAGTCAATGATTGAGCGTTAATGTTTTAATGAGCGTGTTTGTAAATAAAGTGTCTTAGTAACCCGTCTTTTATTTTTCAGGGCAGCGACTCAGCGAGTAACAAACGAGCCGTTTGTGTCATGGCCGTTCTGCTCTTCATGACCTTCAGCTTTGGTCCCGTCAGGTACTCGCTCACGCTTCATGATCCTCCAAACACTCTTTAGTTTTCATTAACTCACTTTACACATTTTCTTCAGTGTCTTCATTTTCTCATCTTTTATTTTGATAGGTTACACGTAGACGCAGTTACATCCCGTCTGTGGTCACATGTTAACCTGTCCGTCAAACAAAACCAATTATGTGACTGATTCCGACTTTTGTCTCAATGATGTAAATAAAAATGGACGACACTAAAATATCTCGGATATCAACGCTGCCATCTTATAAATTCGTGCTGGTCCTCGTCTCCGCAGCATCACGGACAGGAAGCTGTCGACGGGCCCACAGGACAGTGTGGTGTGGTATACAGGACGACAGCTGCTGGAGATCGGGCAACAGCGACCGCTGCCGCAGCAGCGGCAGGTGAAGGCGGCGGCTCAGTCTCCGAGCAGAGTGGAGGACAAGACAGAGACGGAGGAGGACGGAGCGGAGGCGGACAGATTCGCTGCAGAGTCGTATCATTTCAGGTGAGAATCATTTAATCAGCTCCAAAGTAAAACTACAAACTTTACGCTGATGACGTTAAACTGAGTCGTTTTAACTTCAGCTGCAGAATCAACGTATTCAGACTCTTAATTTGAAAGTGTGTGTGTGTGTCTGTCTGTGTCACAGGAACCTGAGCGACGTCTTCAGCGACATGAAGGACCTGGTTCTTCAGGACATCGATCGTTACTTCACGTCCTCAGACTGTCGACAGTTCAATCGCTCCGAGTCCCTGAGGTTCAAACACAAATAACTTTATTGACTCATCAACACAAACATGTTTGTTCTTCAGGTTGAGTTCTTGTGGTCGGCGGTCGCTTTCCGTCTTCTTCAGCTCGTTTCTCTGACTCTGCTGTGACACGTTTTGTCGTCAGGTTGGCGGACGAGCTGAGAGGTTGGGTTCATCGACATCAGATCGACAGGAAGAAGTCTGGAGGGAAACCAAAGATTGCTAAGAAGGCTAAGATCGCCCAGGTAGTGACACAGCTCCTCTTCTTCACCTTCTTCATCTTCTTCACCTTCTTCACCTCCACTTTCTTCACGTTCTTCTCCTGCTTTGTAAACGAACAGATCTGCTTCTTATTTCATCGACTGTGTTTCAGAAAGCTCAGCTGAGGAAGACAAACTTCTCCAGATATCTGCCGATTCAGACCCATCGCTCCCTCGAGAGGTACGAGAATCTGCTCGTGTCCTTTAACGTCTCCTCGTGTCGTATCTGCCGCTGATGACCTCTGACCTCTGTTTGTCTCTGCAGTCAGCTGCAGGTGCTTCCTGGTCCTGAGGTCACGTACAACGACTTCCTGGACGCCATCGACCGCAGAGAGGACACTTTCTACGTCGTCTCGTTCCGACGGGTACGACCCTACGATGCCCACTGGGCTGTTTTTATTACCTTTCGCTAATCCCATGATGCAGTTTGTTTACGCAGCGTTTCGACCGAGGACTGTAAATAAAAGTAGACGTAGCCAATGCTGAAGAGCCTAAAACATGTATTCTCTCTCATGACCAGCAGAGGGCGACTCCACTGGTTGATTTTTAACGTCAGTAAACACTGGGTTAGGTATGAATGTGTCCTCTGTCGCCCCCTACAGGACCACCTGCTGTTACCGGCCATCAGCCACAATAAAACCAGCCGACCCAAAATGTCTCTGGTGATGCCGGCCATGTCCGTTAACGGTGAGAATCCCTCCATGTTGGTGGTTTCAACACAGTGATACTGAATAAAAAAATGATTATAAGTTATT